TTTTTCAGCTGACTTCGTATGGAATGTCAAACGTTGCAATATTTGATCTTTGCCATTTGTATTGAATACTTTTTAAGGAGAACTCTAATTCTTGGCCAAATTATTTGAGTATAACCTGGTTTGGATCAGTTTACGCTAAATATAAACTGACTAAAACCAGGTTATACTCGAATAATTTGGCCAAGAATTTTAGTCTTTCATTATAATTTAATTCTAAATCAACATGTAGGTGTAAAATTGTGTTGCTTTTTTATGAGTTCATATTTACCACTCAATGATACAACCATGGTAACGTAGTGATGGGAAGCGAGGGGAGGTGATTTGATAATAATATAGCAGTCCTGATGTTTGTTTACAAATGGCGAATACAGATGGACAATTATAGAATTCAGTTGGAATAAGAATTCTACAATTCCATATGAAAAATGATACAAAACTAATGGAAAATAATAGAATACAAATGGTATTAAATATTTCAATAAAAAATTAATACAATACAAAATAAGAATACAATACATATGAAAAAGATAGAATATTTCAAACTTTGACATGTCATATTCTCATTTTAATGCTAAATTAAATGTTTCACAAATCAAACTTTGATTTGTAATGGGAGTTGCTTTTGGTCTCAATATGTTTGAAAAATAGACGCTAAACACACTCCGAGTAGACCACCCTAATCATTTGTGCATGTGTAGTAAAAATCTACTGCGATCCTGCTACACTTGCATAGGGAACGATGTAAAATTCGAAAAAAAGATTCAAGACAGTTAATATGAATGGATCAAAGAAAATATATTTCTTTTGCAGATACGGTTGGATGGTTGTCTGTGGAGAGCAGCCGTGGTATCAGAGATGGTATCTCCATGTTCTTACCTTGCTTCAACTAGCCGAGGTGTGTATTGAAGGAATTCCACAGCTTATATTTGAAGGTGACTTATTCCTGACAGAGAAACAAACTTTCTACAAAGGTAACACAATTTTGTTAAAATTTAAAAGTACATCAATCATAAAAAAAAATTTCAAATGTCTGACATTTAAGTAAAAAATGGAAAAGAAAGTAAAAACAATATATTTAAAAATCACATTCATTTGTATTTATTTAGTCATTTATTTAATTTTGAAATAGGTATAGGAAGAACAGAATTTTGGACAATGATTGTTTCTCTTTTTGCCGTGGCTGTATCTATCACTTCCGTTACAACGACGTTAGATAGAGAGGAGGACGTCAGAGAAATATACGATGAGAAATTAAAGGAAAGAAATTCTACTGAAGACGAAGAACAAAACTGGGAAAAGTACAAAACTGAAAACAATTGTCTTTGGTATTTTTATGCTCTTGTAGTGTTTGTTGGAAAACCGTTTGAATATATTCCACGATGCATAATTTATATAATGTTTGCGGAAGAGTTTGGCCTAAAGGCGCTAGGTTATTTTATTGGAGTGTACTTTCTTATTTACTTTTGCTTTTCGATTTTCTGTTTCAATACGATAATTACAAATGATAAAAGTATTAAAGTATTTGCTCTCATAAGTACTATAGTTGGTGCATTTGCCAACCTTTTCTTTTGCTATGAATGGCTATTTCGATTACGGTGGGCGAAAAAATATTTTTATTTTCGGTATTACATATTATTCTACGCTGTGAATCTAGCTCTTGGGATTTCTAATATGTTGTCCTCGGGAAAAAGAGATTTCCATATAGTTTTTGGTTTTGTAACAGTTTTATGCCAACCCTTGTTATTTTTATTGCGAATGTGGTTAAGAGAAAAAATGAGTGAAAATATCAAATAAACATCAATCTTTATGATTTCCCCCTCGGAATATAAATTGTTTCGTGCATACAAGTTAGTTTGATTTGTTTCATGTCAATCCATCAAACCAACTCAGGTCTGAAAGGCGAGAACACAACACAATAATGAAAATCAATATTTCCTAACATATTTTTTTTAATTAACTATAATTTACTTTAGTAATTAACTATAGTAAGTACTTTGATACTTTTATGGACTATAACACTAGAAAGAAGCTGCTCTTTGAAATTTTAATGTTAAACTTTCTACAGTAACATATTTCCAATGATATACTTTTAAAAAACAAAAAACAGAAGTAATACTATATTTAATATACGAAAAGGGGTTCTTTCAATATCAGAAAATTACTAAGGAATTTAAAAAAAAAATAAATCTTCCTGAAAATCATATTAAAAATTGTTTGATTTACTATAGTAAAGCATAGTTAAATATAGTACTTTTTATGATTGTTGTTAATTGATTCCCATCACTGGAAATACTAATTTCATATACGTTCAAATAAAATATTCAGTACATGGATGCAAAAACAATAAAATGAAAACAAACGAACAAATAAAATCATATTTTCCAGTCATAATATTCACGTTAAACCCCCCTACTTTTTATGTTGATTTTTTGTACAGAATAACCGTTTACATGTAGATATTTTTAACAAAATTGAAGTTAAATGATATGCTGTTTCCTGCTAGTGTTTCTTGTTTTCTCTATGGTCAATGCTGGTACGAATATAACACTATTATTTAGTCATTATAACTGTTGCTTTAGAATGCTGTTGTCGTTGCAAGTATATGTTGTTTCCCTTGCATTGTGCTTTAGTACAGAATTTGAGCCAGAGTAATTAAATCTAATAAACCCGTATCGAATTTTGCGTGTGACTTTCTTTTTTAGCGCTTTTTCAATGCGCCTATGGTTTACATTAAATTTGAATCGATCGATCGAGCGTATTGCCTTCTAAAATCAAAATACTACATTCTTTTTGTATGCAAATCTTTACTTTTTTTAACATGACTTGTAAATCTTATACCTCTCCTCGTCTTTAAGATTAGATTTAATTTGTTTTGCAGAAGTATGTTACGTATTACAATGAAACCATCCTTAAATCATGATGATTTCGTAAAATGGCTCAAGATTTTTTTTATTCAGCTTTTTTACGATCTTCCATGTTCGTATTTTGGGGATATCCAACAAAGAAATTGGTGAAGTCTGACTCCCTATTATTACAAGCAATCGTAGTCTACATATTGCAATGAAAAAGTGGTGTTGTGCGGAATGTTATTTTCTTTTTCAAACCCACGTTTTATTGTAAAAAAAGGCTCAATGAATAATATAAAATCAACACCGACGTAATATCCTTTCAATCCTCACTGCTTGGTTATTTTGTCTCCTAAGGTATGTCACTCGTGAAGTTTGTTAAATCAAGGATTTTTTTAAAGGTTTTTTTTTTTTGATAAATACTCAAAAAGTCTAACTCAAAATCGCAGAGAAAATAGGGGGTCAGTGTGCATCTTACTGATCTACGGTACAATTAAGTTGACCTTTTTGCACTGAAATTTTAACTCTTTGGTTCATTCCTTTAACCTTTATTATATTTTATCAGATGTAGCCATGGCATTAAATATAATCTTATTTTACGTAAAATGGTTTGAATGATATTTATCATTGAAAAAATCTTGCAAATTAATGCGCGTAAATTTTTGTTTGACCTTTTTGCACTAAAAAGTAACACGTTTGGGGGTATCAAAAATTAAATGAGCAATAAAACATTTTCTTATGTCAAACTTTTTACGACTTGAGTGCTGATCAGTCACAAGTATTGAGTAGTTTAAAATAATAAAAGAAAAAGTTGGGGTCAGTGATGTTAAATTTGAAATATTGATAAAAATATGTGATTTTCAGGCGAAAAATGGTGTAAATTTTATCTTGACTTATTTGACATATCTTCATTTTTTGGCAAAGTTTATTGAAGGAAGGTGTAAAACTTGTTCTAAAAATATAAATTAAGACCTATATTAAATATTCCTTGCAATATCCTAACAGAAAATATTGTCCGAGTAAAAGTATGTGAGGCTTAAGTTCCACGATGTTGAATTTAACAAATGTGCAAACTTGCAGAATTTTCTACTAATTATCCTTCCACCACGAAAAATAGTCCCCCATAAATCTGGCGTCTTTGTAGATTTTTTTTAGCAGTTTTTTCATTGAATGTTAAAAAATTTACACTGTTGAATTTTAATATGTCATAGAAATTGAATTTTAATAAATAGTTTTGAAGTAAGAGGTTCTGCGCGAACTTTTCTAAAAAGTTGACGAGTGACATACCTTAAAATCACTTAGGAAATTAATTGCCTTTCGAGTCAAGTTTTAAAATAAATGTTATAATGACTGTTAATAATATCAGGACTTACGAATCCATATAAATATTCTGAAAATTATTTAAATAAATAATTTCATTTAAATTTAAAGAAAACTGATTGAAATGACGCTTTATCTGATCTATAAATAAATCTTATCTCAGTTTTTTTTTTTTTTTTTTCATTATGTAATGCTGATTTCACCTATCTATTTATTAGTCAAGTAATCAGTTTCCCTGTTCAGATTTGCATTCAAGATTGTAAGAAAGAATAAAAAAGAAGGAACATATAATGATATCCTTGTTTCATGACTGTTCCTACAGTTATGAGACAGGATATTAATATATGTTTCTTACTTTTTCTTATTTTATTTCTAAATATGTGCTTGTGCCCTCCTCAATAAATAAAAAAAAATCTGATTACCCTTTTATGCATGTCAAGGAATTCTCGGTAGTTAAAAGTGGCCCGAAATGAGAATGTTTTGCTTTGACACCCCCTTCCCAACTGAAGTCGCTACCTATGGACTTGCGTATTATGTGTTTCTCCTAGCAGTATAAAAATGTATCAATACTTCTCTGTACCATAAAATATTGTGTTTTTTGCAACCGCCCTTCAAGCGTTGAGATAGGTAACTTGTAAAAATCAGTCTATTTTTATCGTAATCAGCTGGTTGATAAACACACTTGTATATCCATGTATATCGTTTTTCTGTAAATATATATTGTATGCGGGTATTTCAGAAAATATAAATAGAACGAGATAAAAAGCTATTATTACATTTGGAATTTCCAGTATATAATATCATTTATTAAAATTGAATACTAAAATTGTGGAATAAACACTGGGCTTCACTGTGCGCGTTAGTGTATTCTTGTGTGCCCTTTTTTCCACGACAAAGGGATTTAGACATCGAAAGCTGTTATTATTACAAACAGATTCAAATCAATTTGACGACTTCTATCTTTTAACATAATTTCACTCTCAACCTTCCTTTGTCGTTATAGCTGTAATCTTTAATTAAGCGGTGTGTTGTTTTAGAAATTATTTACCAGTGCCTCAACTTCATAACGTAAAAATGCTCGAAATGAACAGCTCAGGTGAGTAAATTATTTTTTTTTACGATATATAGTTTTGAAACTTATTTCCTATATATAACCTTCACATTTTTGAAGGAAATGTACAACCTTTTAGATTATCTGTTTCATAATTCTTTCAGTTTTCCCTACGAAAAGCCTCGGGTTTTCACAGGAACAGATCACGTGTTTCGAGGTTGCTCTTGGATTATTTGCATTCTTCTTCGTCCTTTTCCTTCTGTTTTGTACCGTCCTAAAGGAAAAGCTGAAGTCTCTTCTCGAATTCGACATTAACATATTAGAAAATAAATCAAATAGGAATCTGCATGCCGTAAAAGTGTCGACTGAACGAAATGACTACACTTCTGGTGAAAAAGAATTGGAAACACATTATATACAAATCAATTTGCAATAACATTGGGAAATGTATTTTAGTGATTGCAACGACATTTCTCATTTTCGTATATATGTTTGATTTCTTCCAAGATTTGTTCATTGTTTACTATTTTTTTGAGATTGGGAAGAGAGAAATCGCTCTTATATATTTGGCTTTAACCATTATTCCGAAATTTTTGTCCTATTTCTTGGTGCTTTATCCTCTGTTTTATCACGTCGATTCATCAAACAAACGCCGGCGATTAGCGCTTGTATTGCTTGCCTGTTTTCCATTTCTAAAAAGCTGCATGTGAGTATTTTCTTTTAATCTTATTTTTATCTTTATGATCCTACCTTCTAGCAAAAAACAAATTATAAAAAAAACTAAATTTATATTTAAACTGGGCATGTTAAAAAATGAAAATATCATAACCTATGTTTGCTGACCTATTCATTTCTTCATTGATTATTGATTGATTGATTGTATACTGTTTAACGTCCGTCTCCAGAATATTTCACTGATATGGAGACGTCACCATTGCCGGTGAAGGGCTGCAAATTTAGGCCTATACTCGGCACTTACGGCCTTTGAGCAGGGAGGTATCTTTATCGTGCCACACCTGCTGTGACACGGGGCCTCGGTTTATACGGTCTCATACGAAGGACCGCAACATTTAGTCGCATTTTACGACAAGCAATGGGTACTGAGGACCTATTCTAACCCGGATCCCCACGGGGTCATTGAATATTGAAGAAAGAATGTATTGAATATATTTAAGATATTTTTTTAAAAAAAGTTTCAAAGCTATATGAACCAAGATTGAACTAGTTGTATTAAAAGATTCCAAAACTGAGATATTTTACTTTGTATTTTCCCTTCTTTACCTTCCTTTCTAAAAGATGTATTGCTTCCAGATTATGCTGGACAATTCGAATGGGTTGGAAACGCTGGAAAACGAGATGGTATTTACAAGCTTTAACGTTTATCTTGCTGATTGATGCTGCTCTTGGGGAAATTCCACAGACGATTATATTGTATTTTATTAAGTATGAAAATAACGATCTGAACATAGGTAAGTACATGTATATGTGGATAAAATTGATAAATTGTCCCATTAATATAAATATGATTGTAAAAGCTGGCAAAAAACCCAAGATTAACTAAAGATTAAAAATTTTTTTTTCTCTCTGAACATATTCGGGTGTTGCTCTTTCTGATATTATAAATTCTTCGAGATAATATGTAAACGGCAATATCAAATCAAACACAATGTACATGAATTATTCTCCATAACTTTTTAATAAGGCGATTATCTGGATTACAATTTGCAGAATTTAATTTTTCTTTTACAGATTTGTACAACACACAGGACATTTCTTTAGTCATTAATTTTGTATCCTCTCTTCTAAGTGTATTTTTTGCCACGAAGTACCTTAATAAAGACGAAGACCGAAGATTAGAACATACCAAAAGAACTCTTGAAACATCCTACAAAAATAAATGTGTATCTTTTTGGCGTAAAATTGCTTATTCACTTGCATTGTTCTTTGAAAGAGGTATTGAAATTTTTATTCGAATCGTTATGTTTGGTACATTTGCATCTGTTGTTGGGTGGAAGCCAGCATTGTATGTTTTTACAGGTCATCTTGTCATTTTTATTGTCTTAACCATACTTTGTTTTCGAAAACTTAAACAAAATCACATTTTCTATGACAACTGTACAAAGAAACCTAGTTTTGTATCAAGTCTATTAATTGGTGTTGTTGCAAATATATTTTTCTGTCATTCATGGTCATTCTGTCATATTTTGTCTAGAAAAGTGGTATATATACTTTACTTTGTTTTGTTTTACGCCACTTCTCTTTCTCTTATTGTATCATCTAATGTTATTGCTGGAGTCGTAGATAATTTTTCAATAGGTCTTTATGCAGCCATTGCTTTTCAGATCATATTTCTTGCTTTGTGTTTTGTTTTCAGAGAATGTAAAAGGAAAAGATTATTGCAAACATAAAAAGCTTATAATAAAGTTACTGTGACACAATCCATAAACAGTTATATAATTTACTTCACATGCATTATTGTGATTTGAAAATAAAATGTTTTGTATTAGTTTGAATTTTTTCTTATTCATTTTTTTATGAAAAAATGTCATCGTATTAAGTGTAAGAAGTCCTAAAAATGAACTCGTCTCATATTGGATATTTTAAAGCATGAGAGAGAGAGAGAGAGAGAGAGAGAGAGAGAGAGAGAGAGAGAGAGAGAGAGAGAGAGAGAGAGAGAGTGAGAGAAAGAGAGAGTGAGAGAGAGAGAGAGATGTATCATGAGAGAATCATGCAATATGGTGAATTAAAAATAAAATACTTTGCGCTAGTTTGCATTTTTTTCTTATTCTTGTTTTTAAGTAAAAAGATGTCATCAATTAAGTGAGAGAAGTCCTGAAAACGAACTGGTGTCATGTGGTATTTTTAGAGCATGATAGAGAGGGAGAGAGAGAAGGGAGATTAAAATGTATCATGAGAGAATCGAGTAATATGGTGCACTAGTCAAGAAGTTATGAACTTCGTTAATCTTATTAATAAATTGCATTGATTATCTACAGCTTACGTGAGACTTACAAATCAAATGATATTCATAATTATTAAATTTATATTTCCATTGTCCCTACAATAAACCTAATGCTTTTTTCTCATATGCCTATGATATGTATGCCTCTAACTTCAGGCAAGAGCATCTAAGAATTATCAATGATTGAACCGAAAAGGTTAATGACAGTTAAATTATGTTACTTGGCTATGTAGAATATTAATTGTAAAATCTTTAGAATGGCTTGTGACCATATTTGTAAATTCAACAATGTTCTGATAGGATTTATTTTGACTGACGTGTTCCATAACAATTGTTAAGATATATTTTGATTTCATTTATAAACTTAGATTAATTCATTTGTTTAATTTATAAAACTAAATATGTAAATGCCAGATAAGTAATGGATGATTATATAAGTTATGTGATGAATTATTTGCTATTATGTTTTTTTTTAATACACTAACGTTTTCATACAGTGTCATTAAAATGTCTTTCGTTTGAAAATAAATCAATGAAAGTTAGATTCCTTTTATGAAAATGATTTATTTTGTTGAAGTAACCATGCGCACCTTTCATTTCAGACGAATGAAATTCCCATAGACCATTTAAATTATTTGCAGTTTACCTGTTACATAAGGAAAAAAGCATTTGATGTAATGCATCTGCAATATTAGCCCCCTATCGGTATGTGTAATCTGGTTCCTTTTAAAATTAAAAAAAGACTATATATTTTCCTTAAAAATATTCTTTGAAGAATGTTATCTGTAACTCATCAAGATACATTCACATAGCTGCAGAAATCAGGTCAATATCTGCAAGCGTTTATAAAAACATTTAAATCATCATCCCGTAAATTATAGCACATGTAGAAGCATTAAAAGTTTGAAGGTTTTTCGAGAAAAAAAATAATTTCAAGCTTACAAACAAATGCATAAAATGTACAAAAAACGTTTAACTTTTAGGTGTTCCTTAGACTCTGTTTTAAACTCAGTATGAATTTATTTCATCTTATTTAAAATGTTTCTTTGTTTTTTTTTTTACTTCCTAGTAATGTGTTGTAGCAAATCACGAGCTATTTGTTCATAACTAATGTTTCCTGCGTAAAGAATATTCATTATTCTTTTTTTCTTGTGTAAACTTTTTCTCGTAAACTGTTTTAGATGCTCCCTGTGATAATTTTATCTTTTTGAATCATTTCAAACATATCCTAGTTATTTTTCGTTTAAATAAAAATTCCTGATTTTACGTGTTAAACTACAACTGTGTATTAAAAGTTTTCTTACTTTTTAAAATTATTTTTTACTGTTTACCATAGACGACTTTCACATTTACATGAGTTATTCCAATCTGCGGGGCCAATCTGGGGTCAACCGGCGTAAGACACTGTTTTCCCTCTATAACCTTATCAACTCTATGGGTCAGTATCTAAGAAATAAAATCTGTATGAAAATGTTCATTACATTTTTCATGTTTCCCCATATTCTGGCAATACAGGTTAAGATCAAAATTGTTCGATAACTTTTGAAGATTAAGAATATTAACAGGTAAATTAGAAAGGACAAAGTGGGAAAAATGAGCGTTACGCCGACAACGGGAGATAACTCTTAGGAATGTGAATTTCGTCTATTGAAAACGTGGGTGTATTTTCAAACCCGATGCTGTGCAGTTTTCAATGACAGAGAGTTCCTATTATACTTGGTTCTTTTCAAATTAATAATAATTGGAGTATCATTGTTATTTTAAAATTTAAAAAAAATCAGTAGTCTTTTTTTTGGCTTTATGATTTTTTTTTTACTTCGAAATTTAATTTTCTTTGTATTAGATATTTTACTTAATCAGAGAGAGAGATCGACCTTGGATTTTCGAAGAATAAATTATATGCCATGATATTAAGAAATCGAAATTAATGTACAATAACATAAGAAAGTTCAATAGTCATTTCCCAAAAGTCTGTTGTTTGTGACTACAGTCACTTTATTCATAGGAAACAAAATTATGCATTAAGCATCAGAGAGGTGAGGAAATTGACCGGTCCTCTTTTCATCATAACTGTATACTATTGAAACAGTTGTCTATTCAGTGAAATGCAAAGTAGATCCCGATTTTGTACATGTAGCATAATTAAAACATTGTAAATTGGAAATGTTAAAGTAAAAGAAGAATCTTCAGAGATGACTTAGTTTATTGATTTACGAGGTGTAGGAAAAACTTATTTTGTAAATTTCTTTTTTCAATACAGTTATTTCATAAATTATTCAAAGAACAAATGAATGTAAATGATTATTCAAAAACATTTAGTTAGTAGTCTATGATGACATATTTCTGCCCCCTGCATGCAAGATAAGTTATTTAGACATGCAACATGATTTTGTAGACTTGTAACATATTTATGTCAACATGCAAGTTAATTATGCTGAATTGCAAGTTACCAATATGATAAGAAAATATATAATTTATATATAGTTAAATATACTTACTAACGCCCGTATCTGTCATTGTAGATGCAAGATGCAACATAATTATGCAGACATGCGACTTAATTATGTCAAGATGCGACTTATTTATGTTTATTTAGGGTAAATATTTCAGTCTATTTCAGGCTTAAGTCTACATCCCACTCAAGAACTATGTTATCATCGGGGCACACATGTATAGTGTTTCACAAACACTAGTCTTGTTTTCATAGTATTTTGTGGCGTATATTTTTTTTAAAATAATTATGTAATAAGCATACTAAAACATACCATTTTTCATATCAGATCCATCATCTGCCCTCTACTAATACCAGGTCTGTACTTTGGTCATATAAAGTTTATATTGTTGTCTCTGCAGGTCAATAAATGGTATGATATGAAAATGGGTATGCGCAAGCATTATTCTGTATGTATAATAATTGGTACACCACTAGATTTATTTATGGGCGAAGATAAGCTTCCTAAATTGAAGTCTTATTATGGTTTATTCAAAATAAGTAATATTCTTTTGTCAACAACTAAAACCGAAAGAGACATTCTCATTTACAGTGCAAACATGTTTGATTTGTCCATCTCTGATTTCAATGTTATGCAACCTTATGAGTGGCACGCAGTTATTTATTTGATTAAGATTATAACGTAAATTCGGTTCTGATCAAGGCATAAACGATTACGTTGTCGATGAGGAAAAACCAAACGTAAGTAAAATAGGACCCCCCTTAAACATTACATGATAGTATTTTGGAATGAAATAAGTTTTTCCTTGAATATAATTTAAGATGACAATTTTTTTTTCTTCAATTAATTTTCTAGCAATTAATTCTGACACCAATTTTCTTTAAATTGAGGAAGAACTCCCTTAGAAAAATACTGATTCACTTTCATTTTAGATTTACATATATTTATGTAAGAAATGAATAAAACATGGATTTGAATATTTGAGCACACAATAAAATCATAATTTCATAATTGTTTTTTGTTATCAGAAAAAAAGTTTAATTAATACTTAAAT